GTTAAACTATAAACATGATCGTTAACACTATCTAAATATCATATCTAATGAATGTTTGTTTTAAAGCAATCAGTATAAGACTCGCAATGTTGTCACAATGACAACATGGGTTGTCATACTGACAACTCTCAATGTTCAAACTGACAACTTATAATTGTCAAAGCAATAATGACAACGCTAAAATTGTCAAATTGACAACGTTTTATTTACAGTGTTGTACCCGTGTGGGGAATCGAATCGAGGCTTCAGCTTGACGAGCGAACGCTTTAACTACTAGGCTACTCCCACCGCCCACAGCCGCGAGTGTACGACCAATACCTAGTTTGTTACACCCGTGTGATATACGTGGAATCCGTTAGAACAGGATGAAACTGAGACACGCAGAGGTATACAAAACGACGTATATAATACAATCGAAACACATCAATAGGGACGTCTTGCATTTAAAAGAAATACTATTTTAAAAAGGTTTATATTTTCGATTTAGAAAATAGCAACATACGTTACATTTTGTTCCTGAAATGGCCGGGTGACAGAATACTAAATTCGTGAAAAGATGCGGAGTAAAATCAGCTTTCGTGGCTGTTGCGAATGAATGAATGTATCTGTAACTCACTGACTGACTGACTGAGTTTGGTTTTACGCCTCTTTTAGCAATATTCCAGCAATATCACGGCGGGGGACACCAGAAATGGGCTTTACTCATTGTACCCATGTGGGGACTCGAACCCGGGTCTTCGGCGTGACGAGGCAACGCTTTAACCACTAGACTACCTCACCGCCTCTGTAACTCACTCGCCCATTCATCCACTCACTCACTCTTACCCACCCATTTACTAGGACTGTACGGTATTACCCTAGTCCGTCAGACAGATTCTAAAACAAATATCTCCTGTATAGCCCATGCAAGTCTAAAATATGTAGCAAGTCTAGATTTCAGATTGAAAATGGAGAAAGTCCCTGGTCTCCATTTTACCATATTTTATTAATATAAAATAGGGGGGAAAAATAAACATGTTCATTTTAATGACTATGTCGCAATATGTCTATCGCAATACGGAAACCGCTATCGCTGTATGTTGCAATACGATCTATTTGACAATACGCAGCATTACCCATCCACTCACTCACTCACCCATGAGCTCAATTACCCACCCATGAGCTCACTCACCCACCCACTCACTCACTCACTCACACACACCCTCACTCACTCACTCAAGTCAGCTGCTCCTCGCCGAGAGCTATGTCCTTCTACCCATGCTATAAAACCTTGGATCGTGATGAAACATGATTAAAAGCTTCCGTCCTCACAGAATATGAGTTACTGGCGATGTGCCACTTATCAAATATTCAGGTAGGATTAGTTGTTGGGAAACAAGCGTGGGAAAAGGTTTTACATGCAACGTAAAACACAACTTTGCAGATTCTGATACCTTTCGGTATGGACTTACCGAAACAAATTGTCAAAAATGCAAATTCAACTTATAAAGTTGAAAAATAACTCGATGAAAAAAAACGCGCGAAATCGGAGTTCAAACGTTTCAATAATTTTCCCCAGACTTTTCTGGGGAAAACGGGTTTCAACAGCTGGGCTGCGCTCATAGCACGTGCGCAGTGAAATAGGTCCGTGCAGCTTGGAAGCGCGTTGTCCGGTGAATACTCGCTGAAGGCTTTGGTGTGAGCTATTTTTCTAATGTTTGTTGATATCTCACAGGCGCGAGCATTTTATATGTTATGACAGTAAATTAACTGTTTATATAATTTCATTTGTCTATTTCACCACACGTTCTTCTTACCGAGACACTTTCTCAGTTCAATACTTGAAAGCAATGTCATTATTTAGCTATGACAGAATTTCTAACTGCGATGTAGATATGTCGTTGTCACAGACAAAACTCAATGTCTTGTTTTACTGACACCTGTGTGTCTGCCTGCCTGTCTGCTAATGACAATAGTCAATACACAGCTGCTATCACTGACCACATGCAATTTGAACTTAACATCAATCAGGCTATACACCATAAACAAAATGCATTGATTTATGGCCCGAGTTCGGTCTCTGTCACATTATGTTATTACACAGACAGGCAGGTGTGATACTTGAACACATGACATGTTATGATGTCTGTTGATTGCAAAATGTTATACACAAAAAATGAGCATGTATTTACAAAACCCAACACCTCTTTATATACACACACAATAAGCCGTGAGGGCATCTGCAAATGAACCAACCGTTACACTTGAGTGCACACCCACCCGCTCTGACTGGGTTCGGTATCCCGGCTGCTTCGTTTCTTGGGAAGTAAACCGAAGTACACAATATTGCACTTTTGATTTGCGATTGTACGCTTATAATTTTGTTTATATGTTTTTTCATAACCAGCAATGTATATTATATGTCACAAATAAGTGATAATTGTGTTTTAATTATGTTTGATTTTTTGGTTGCATGTGACCTTTAACGATGACGTGGATAGTTTAGTTAGTGAGTTTAGGTTTACGTCGCTTATAGCATTTACGCCGCTTATAGCAATATTCCCGGAATATCACGGCGGGGTCACCTGAAATGGGCTTCACACATTGTACCCATGTGGGGAATCGAACCCGGATCTTCGGCGAGACAAGATAACGCTTTAACCACTGGGCTACCCCACCGCCCTCGGATAGTATGAAGTAGTGACGGAGCACCTATGCCGCACTCAGTACTATTCCAGCAACGTAATTTAAGGGAGGCATGTACACAATATGGGACCAGACAATCCAGTGACTGGCAAGGAACAGCGTCTCTCGCCGGACCAGCAGTGTCCAAACCTGACCACCCTGTTCCCGGCAGACATGGATTTGGAGTGGGCTGCCATGTTGCCGATGTCATAGAGTTAGTGCACACACAACACCTCAGTGCTGCATAGGCAAATATGTATTTTATCGTTATTTACGATTTTATTTATGATACCTATCTGTGATAGTGTCTCGTAGGCCTTATGGACGGATGGTATACTTTTTAACCGTTTTTTCTGTGTTACACTTTTTTAGTAATGTATATCATGTGACACTTAAATAAAATACTATCTTATCTTATCTTGGAATTTTGGGGACTTGGGCCTAGATTTTCGAAGCTCTCTTAGCGCCAAGATAGTCGTAAGTGCCATAATTAACATTAACGTACGACTATCTTAGCGCTAAGAGAGCTTCCAAAATCTAGGCCCTGTTCTTGTCGAAGTCACCAGCACATTGTGTTTTTTTGTTTTATTCTCAGGTTTTCCCCTGTTATTTAACACCACACTCACCATTGTCCCAACAATAACCGAGTCCGGATCAGACAATCCAGTGATCTATACATGAGCATCGATCTACATAATTGGGATGCGATGACACGTGTGAACCAAGTCAACGAGTCTCACCTGACCCCGATAGTCGCCGCTTACTACAAGCATGGGTTGCTGATTCCAACCTTATACTAATTCTAACCCGGCTGTTCACGTGTGAGAACATTGTGGTAATTATTGTGATGATTCCTACTTATTTCGTCCAATGCTTTCAATTTGCTGTCCTGAGAGGGTACGTAAGTCCCGAAACATTCAAAGGAAATTTAAATTTACCAGTTGTTTTAAGTGTAGTATTCTTGTCATTTTAATTTTGGCTAAATTTGACTTCAATCGCCCTGAAGGGATGATATAAATCTAGCTAGGGGCCATGCAGGTAGCAAAAGTAATGTAAGTCCCCATGGTCCCTAGTTTGGTGATCTACCTTCAGTTGTTGGCGATCTACAGCCAGTTTTTATATTGTATTGTCCAAATAGTGCTATTAGTTTTAACTTTCCACACTAGTTTTAGTTGTAATTGTTATATTCTAGTTGTTTTACTGTCCTTCGTAGACGGGTTTTTATCATATACATATATTCTATTTCAATGTCAAATATGTTCTCGTCACGATATGGCTGAGATATTGCCGATGTGACGTTAAATATTAACTCACTCACTCAATTTGCTGTGTTGACAGACCAAAAGTAATAGTTGGGGTACAACTCTGAGATTCAAACCCGCGACTCACTTCATGCATCGCGGGGCGGTAGGGTCGCCTAGTGGTTAAAGCGTTCGCTCGACACGCCGAACACCCGGGTTCGATTCACCATATGGGTACAATATGTGAAACCCATTTTTGATGTCCCCCGCCGTGATATTGCTGGAATATTGCTAAAAGTGGCGCAAAACTAAACTCACTCACTCCAAGCAACGACACAGCGAATCGGGCAATACGCTACGCGTTGATTGGCCAATTATCATGTGATGTTACCTACCACCGATCATGAGATGTCAATCAACCAAGATCAAATTACCGGATTAATGCCCCATGGCAAGTGCTTTACCGGACCGTAACCAAACGTTAACGGAAAGATATCGGGCAACAAATATGATTATTATCATCAGCTCAATACTATACCCATTTTGAGTTGTCAGTTTCGTGAAGACCAAACACCATATGACATATCACTGACTGAAGGGAATCTAAAAATAGAGCGGTATATGTTTAAAGACACCCTGTTGTTTTCAAACACGAGATAAAATATAATAATTATTCATAGTACAAAATGATTTATTAATTATTCAATGCTGTTGAATTTAATTGATAAACATATTCATTCTCCGATTATTAAGAAAGAACTTATCGGTTATGTCTTATAAAGTAAGATTGATATTACATTAATAATTAGTTGTATATGAGTACAGCGGTATTAGTAGAACCCATTGTAATGCTCAAAATGGAAAACATGTTGGTTGTGTGTGATCGAATAGTGTGGTAGTTTCGTTTGAGGTTCGCTCAGAGTTGTACTATCAGTTGTAAGGAAAGCAGTATTTATCGATTTCTCGAGTTAGTTCCTATCATCGCCAACAGAGGGCACAAATCAACAGGTGCACGCGCGCCAAGCAACCTCTGACCTTGTCAAAGTGTTTCATTCTTTTGTTCCCATGTACGATTTGATTGGTCAGAATCTGAAGGTACGCCAGTTTTGATTGGCTGGTTGAGATCAAACAGCCGCACACTGTCTACAGAGAAGGATGCAAGCATTGATTCATATTGTACCACTGAATTGGCTGTGCACAAATTCGAAGCTAGGAACTTAATAACCATAGAAAGTGTTGTGACAATCGCATGGAGAATTCTTAGCAGTAGCGGAGTGGATACTGTCATGAATTTCGGCCTGATACCATGTGTTTTTCTAACTGGAATCGCTTTACTCATTTTTGGTAAGTAAACACACTTTCTTTAGAGTTTCTTGTAGATTTGCCGGACAAGATATGCAATGTGCAGCGAGTCGGTTGGCAATTTAGATAATTGTGCTTGATTATATGCTTGCTTCATTCATATTGCACTGTTGACAAGTCGACAGTGCAGCTATTTCTCCGTGAGTAACGGTATGTGCACCGAGAGCCAAGCGGCGGAGCGCTTGTCAAACTTCACGTAACACGTGGGGCTTACAGGCGTTTGTTTACAGTAGTTGTCACTTTGGCTTGTTTGTCGGCAAGCTGAAATACGACGTTTCTTACAACTATCAGCTCCGGAGTTCTACGACAGATAATTTCATATACCACTGCGGTAGCTGTTTTCTCCTTGGTATTATCTTCGGGACAATAACAGTACACGATGTCTTCTGACTAACGCAAATCTAACTGCACAGTCACACGTTTGTCGAAGTTGGCAAGGTTCCAAATGTAGCAATTTTCTTTCTTCTGTCATTCGTGCCGGCGTAAAGATTAGTGTATCGACGGTTGCCGCTGAGAAATAAGAAATAGATCAATTCTGGAGATGTCTCTGGTTTCAGATCATTCAGCTCTCAAACTTCTGTTACCTGTGCGTCGCGTCCTGGCGGGCGGCTTCAAAACGGAGCTATGGACGTCGTCCAAAATCGCAGATGTTTTTCTTTTTAAAAAAAAGACACTTCGCCTTCAGATAATTGTGTTGTTTTACTGTATTCCTAAAACCAAGAGATATTGTCACAGGTAGTTTCTTGTCACTCACGAAAACACCATGGAATAACGCACGCGAAAATGAGTTTCGCGGTAGCCTACAAGATCTTCTATTTGAGTCTTTTTGAAGTAAAGTGTATCTCACAGTAAAATATATGGTAATTCGCATTGAGTATGTATACCAGCAGTTATACAACCTATGCTTTACAGCAATTATTTAATGTTTTAAAAGTCATTTATTATTTAAACTTAAATAATGTAACAGCAAACATCACCATTGTCCACAAAGGTCATTTTAGAATTGAGGTGATCACTTAAATTACCCTCAATGGAATACAAACTAAAACCTGTTGTTTTTTGCACATTTTGATGATATCATTTGTTACCTGTTTAAATAAAACTAAAAAAGCAGCTATCAGCAATTGTTATCTGTTTTACAGATTTTCATGATTAACAAACATTCAACAAAACTGCTTAATGTCAATATTGATCTCACATTTATTATTAATGGAACAAAGGAACTCTCTTGACATACACTTTTTTGCAAACACAATGAAAATGATACATATAAAGTATATTTTCCATCAGAATTCGATTATAAATTCATTTACCTTTTGCAAAATCCTGGGTTTCAGATGGGACAAGACAATGAGTTTATCTTCACATGGGCTGAAAAATACGTCTTTTTGAAATTGCTTTTAGTCAAAATATATATTTTTTAGTGACTTTGTTCTTCATACGTATTAAGATAAAACATTTCCATTAGGCTGCTTCATCATTTATGATGCTATTTTCCAACTGACTGATAAGAACTTTGTATCATCAGTTATCTTTTTAAAGATTTACATGAAAAAACCCGAGGAGAGGTACAGAGCAGATAATTGCAGTTAGATACAATCTTGTGGACATGGTTGGATGGGGATGTTTATGAGTAATGATGGTATTAAGGAAAATAGCATCGATCGGGCAAACTTTAAGCCATGATGTGAGATAGGTTTAATTACAAGCCTATTTGTTTTGATATTGTTGTTTTCGTCTTATATTGTCCGTGTGAGTCCAATTGCAAGTTTTTGTGCTGTTCTGACCATAGCATCCACATTAGTGATTATCACGAGAGGCTAGTTATTTTATCAACCAAAACAACAAACAAAACACTATTCAGCAATTAAATACGACTCTGATACATATACCACATATATTCAGGTTAGAATTGGTTTCACCCCTTCAATTTTTAATTGGTGTTCAGTAACCCATGCTTGTCAACCATTATTGCATGAGTATATATTCAGGTTAGAATTGGTGTTCAGTAACCCATGCTTGTCTCCAGTCTTGAAGATTCGGGTTAGAATTGACCTTCAGCAACCATGCTTGTCGTAAAACGCGACTAATGGGATCAGATGGTCAGACTCGCTGACTTGGTTGACACGTGTCATCGGTTCCCAATTACGTAGATGTCAGTCACTGGATTGTCTGGTCAGGACATGACTATTTACTGATGGCCATCAAATAGCTGGAACATTACTGACTGTGGCGTTAAACAATCAAACAAACCTCATATCGGGTTCTATGTGCATGAAGTCAGAGTTATGATTGCCTTCATGGCAGATATAAAATATGTTCTTGGACACACACAGAAGTCACGTTTACTTTAGCGAAGAAAGATAATTGCATGGTCAGGGCTCCAGATAATTTTTCAACATCAGGAGTACGTACTCCTTATTTTTTCAATATAGGAGTACTGGAGTACATTTAGAGTACTGAATGGAAAATAATGGCGTATCAGTAATCTTGTGTTTTGTTTTATATATGCACCACAACATTGCTACTCTTGTGTAAACAGGTCAATAAACAATAAAACAATACTTTTTCAGATAAATACGTCTGTAAATGATTTTAAGACCATACACCATTGCTGTGGTGCGTATCTGCTCTGTTTCCTAAATTATTTCCTACCGTATCGTGCATATTTTCTATCCGTACATACGCCGATACGGCGATATCTTGAGCCCTGTGTGACTGTAAACATTATCTCTATTTAGTTTGTGTTTGTTGTTTAAGGCCGTACTCAGCAATATTCCTGCTATATGGCGGCGATCTGTAAATAATCAAGTCTGGACCAGACAATCCAGTGATCAACATCATGTGCATCGTTGTACGTAATTGAGATACGATGACATGTGTCAACCAAGCCAGCGACCCTGACCACCCGATCCCATTAGTCGCCTTTTACGACAAGCATGGGTTACTGAAGACCAATTCTAGCGTGGATCTTCTCAGGTCGACTACTGGTGGTGTTGATGTTTATGACTGATGACATGGGTTACTGAAGACCAATTGAAATGATATCTACAAAAGTAAACTAGATACAATGAAATGGTATCTTTAAAGTGGTATGATTAACAACACATTCCTGCGAATTCTGACACAAAGACTGACTGACTGACTGAGTTTGGTTTTACGCCGCTTTTAGCAATATTCCAGCAACATCACGGCGGGGGACACCACAAACTGACACAAAGAGGGTATTGATAATCAAACACAATGAACCAGAGGAAAGCAGACCTGCTCTTGGCTCCTAAGGCCACACTTTTTTTATTACTTAGTTTACGGATCCGCCAACCATAATTTTTTGAGAAAGTGGGAGAAAAAAACAACATTTTTCCATTTTTTAAATACTGCAGATGAATAAAATGCAAATAAATAATTTAAAAAGCTACTTTATTGAAATTAGCTTTCTGTTACGAATTTAGAATCTTTGCAAAAAAAATTTTAAATATTGAAACATAAAATCACTGTTTAGGGGGAAAAAAATATCTGAAAAAGCATTTAAAAAAAACAACATTTACCACCTACCGACAAGAATATTGCTGAAAAAAACCTGTAAACCAAGTAATAAAAAAGTGCGGCCAAAGGTTGTACTATGTGTCGGACATTACATTGTACATTGTATTAACCGAGTAGCCTTTTTGTGAAAGTACTGATTCAACCAACATTTTGACATTACGTGGCCCATTGTATCAATACAAGCTATACAACTCAATTCATGGGTGCCAGTGTTAACCTGAATGGACACTAATTGTAAAACGTTCTTCACTAGCCCAAATCTACATCACTGTTATGGTGGAGCTTATGCATGTATTGCCTGTAATGATTTTTAATTGAAGCATTTTAACTGAAATTTTAAGGCAAATTCACCATAACACAAAAAAAGTTTTTAACAATATTTTTAACAGTGGATTAAAAAAGTTCCTGACTGAAGAAATAGGTCCAAATATCAGCCTTTGAACAGGTCAAGTTATGACACAGGAATTTAACTCCTAGAAATGGTAGTTGTTAATGTGTGAAGCCCATTTCTGGTGTTCCCCACTGTGATGTTGCTGGAATATTGCTAAAAGCGGCGTAAAAACCAAACTCATTCACTAGTTGTTAGATTGTTATGTAGCCTATTGTGACCATAACATGAAGAAAAATATCAACACTGTAAAATGTATTGTTGCAATCTGAATATTCATAATTGGTCAATGAGCCTTTATGAACCAATAAAAATAATTTGTTTGGAACCCCTGCGGAGTATGTTGTTGATACCTGCAGAGAGACAGATGCTAGTTGTTCCACATGTTTAGACACAATGTGTTATTGCATCTGTATCCAGTCCTTGAAGAGTATATATTGTAGATTCCTGCAGAGTGCAATCTGCTAGTAATACCATGTGGTATATACACACACAATGTATATCGTTATATCCGTCGAGCCCTGTGGAGTAACAAGCTGTTTATACCACATACTAGACCTGGCAATTAATACAGATCATCAATAATCGTTAACAAATTATCGATCTCCAATATCAATAAAAATCAGAGAAGTACTTTGAGTAATAATGCCAAAAAAGTCTGAAAGAAATGAATATATTTCACATGATTGGTCAGTGGTGATGTTTAACTTTAAAGCATGGATTACTAACAACCGGCGTCCTGAACATAATTTAGATGCAACCCAGGAATGAAAACCTAACTTTGTGTATTGTGTAGTGGTGGTCCGATTAATTGAAATAATCGAAGATTGGTCGCAGTGGCCTAACGACCAAGCAATCGATCAAATTTTCTCATAATCGAACACAAACGATTTTGGAACCGCTGTAATAGAGTTTGAAATACTTGATGATGGAACATATCTAGGACGTTGTCAGGGCCTGAAAACATGTTTATTTCTAAGAAAACTCACTTCACTTTCTGAAAAGTCATGACTGAATATTTCTTGAAGAATCAGGGAAGTTAATGTTA